AGCAAAATAAAAGACAGATAGTAGGAAACAGGGAGATAGATCTTTTGCAAAGGGGATGGGGACCAAGAGCGGGGCGGGGGGCACTAAAAAGGATGGGCTGTGTGAATTCCACACACCAACTCATGATGGGCTGCAGACATGGACTAATGAAAACAGAAACTCAAAACTGACACAGAAAGATCCTAATGCAGTGTTTAAGTAAGTACAAGGAAAACCATCCCACTTTAGCTGCAGTGAGGTGGGGGATCATCTGCGGAAATCCCTGCAGCCTTATGGGAAGAGCCCGTCTCCTCAGATGGCCTCCATCCAAGTCCTTACTCTGAGCCACCGGCAGGGGCTCCCTCCGCAGGCTGGGTGCTTCCTCCAACTTCTCATGCTGGGTGCGTCGGCACTTTGACAGGAGTGACACCAAGCTGCCTGGTCTCTTTTGCCTTGCTGTGCCAGGGTGCCCCACACTGGGAGTTATAATGAGGAGGAGGCCGGGGTCACTTGCTCGGTGGTACAGTGTTTGCCTAGCAGGCCCATTACACGCACACAAGTATTTCAGAATCCATCACACACATCCTGTGCAGTATCTATACAGTGTATAATGTGTTATATCACATGATTATATCTTGTATGTATAGATTCACCCACGTATGCCTATGTGTACACAATGACCAGGAATTTATTGACTCATGGTTCTCAAGCTTGGGTACTCTAGAGCTTGGCAGCATGGGATATTGTGAGGTTCCCTGATGGGACACAGCAGGTGAGCAAAAGTGACACAGCAGGTGAGCAAAAGTGACACAGCAGTCACAGGATGGAGCTTTGGCCCCCACAAACATAACCAACCCTCCTTCCCAGCCGCCCTCTCAATGTTGTTTTGGCAGTGATTTAACTTTCAACATATACCTTTTTGGGAGACATATTCAAACCACAGCCTACCACTGATGTCTAGTTTTTATGCTTTGTCTAACTGGATAATGTATTCATTGGATTGGTCCATGTCTTAGTTACTTTTCTCTCCTTGCTGAGACAAAATTTCTGACACCCAGTGTTAAGGGAGGAAAGGTTTACGCAGCTCACAGCTTGTAGAGGTTTCAGTCCATACTCGGCTGGCTCTGGGACAGGGTGGAACATGGCAGGGGAGCAACAGTTCTGGTATCGGAAGACAGCAAAAGCAGCAAGGGAAGGGCCAAGCCTCCTCCCATCCCATAAACTGTTTGCAGGCTACACGCCCTAGGGCGGCTGTAGCACTCACACCCTTATTCCCAGCATTGGAGCAGGAATCAATCAGACTCTACATTCAGCCTCTGAAGAGACCGTCCCCATGACTGCGTGAGGCTTGGGGTACATCCACACACAACCACAACAGCCCATGTTGGTGTGTGGAGATGGAAATCCACTCCCTCTGGGCGGCTATGTAGAACATCCGTTAGCCATCATCTCTCACTAACAGGAGAGGGGCTGGGGACCCTTCCTCTGAACCCTCTGCAGGAGCCTCGGGAGATTGTACATCCCGGTCTGCTGTGTGTACTGGAGGAAGACATCCTCTCAAAGGATAGGGGTGCTCTCCCCAAGGAACACACGTTTGGTCCCTGCTGTCTGCAGAATGGGGACCAGCAGAGCTATGGGATTTATTTACTAAGTGGCATTATCTTGAACAGATCGCATGTGAATTTCCAATTCATTTTCAATAAATTAATAAATTATAAAATGGGACTTGATCCTAAAATCTCTGTACTTAGATTCCAGGTCTAGAATACAGCATACTTGGGACAGGACCACTAGATGTCGCTACTGACAATGGGAAAAGGCTTGACATCACTGTGCTGCTTTAGAGAACACTGACAAATTTAAGAATAAAAATGTGAAACTCTCCTACAGATGAGCTCTACAGAAACCCACAGGGGCTGTCTTGGAGATGCATGTGCCCATAAAAGTAGCCCATGCCAGGGCACAAGGGTAGCTAGGTTCTTCTCATTCCTTCTTGGAGGGGCTCTCAGCAACTGAAGCTGGGATAAGGGGAGAACTGGGGGTCTCAGCGTCCCAGGGAGCTGATTAGTACACTAGGTTTTAGATCTCTACTCATCACTGTGCAGCCCCTCTGCACACACAGGCACAGTTCCACAAGACAGGGGTGAGTTGGGGGCTGGGGATTTAGCTCAGTGGCATAAGCGCCTGCCTTGCAAGCAGGCAGTCGTGAGTTCAATCCCTGGTACCGATAAAAAGGAAAAAGACAAAAAAAAAAAAAAAAAAACCAAGACAGGGGTGAGCAAAGCAGAAGGCGAATGTATAAGTCTAAACGTCACACAGTGAAAGATGCAGTGCTGGGAGTCCTCCTCACAGTGTTCCCCTCACTTCCAACACACTCGTCCTGTCATCCTTGACTCATACTGCAGCAGCCCTGTATGTCCTCTGTCCTGAGAGTCTTGATGAGGCATGATCAAAAATACCGTGAATGCCGTGCCAAGCATTATCCAATAGAAAATCAGGCTCCTAAAACTCAAAGTGTGCCCTCGTCCACTGCACAGGTACCCTGCAATTCCTGGCTCCTCCCCAAAGTCAAAGTGACCTTGAGAGGGAAACATTTCGAATAGATTCAGGACATGGAGGCAGTCAGGCAAGATGACTATGGACACTCATGGGAGGACTTCAGAGCTGCTGTAGAAAGCGGCGAGAATGACAGGATGAGTGTGCTCTGCGGGCGGGGAGGAGTCTAAGTGGGGTGCATAACAGGGGGCCTTTTACTGTGCTCACACACTCCACAGCAGGCAGGCTGCACATCCATGTCTCAGCTTGCCCGGGACAGGTCACACAGACAACAGTGTACACCTTTAGCCCGGGCATGCAGGGGCTGACCACGAGGGTTTGTGCAAGTACGCTACGGTGTCTGCACAATGGCAAACTGGCTTATGCCAGGCTTGTCTCAGAATACATCCCCACTGTCCTGTGACCAATGACTATGGCGGAAGCCAAAGTTTCACAAAATAACACCACACTCTTACCATGTGCAATGTGGTCTGCTCTTTAAAGAAAGTAGGAGTCCTAAGCCAGCAAGGTGACTGCATTTGAACGTGCTTCCACACATTCTGGTGCACATACATATTTGCCCCACCCAGTCCCAAGTACTGCATGGGCACAGCTGGCTGTGCACTCGTTCCTAAGCCTGCAGCTCAGGTCAAGTCTGGCACCTTGGAGGGACAGTTTCAGGCTCATGATGACCGGGTACACTGAAGAACAGGCAGCTGGCCAGTGGGATTCAAGATGGCTTTGGGCAGAAAGGAGCCTGGTATAGTGGTTAGGCCTGGCATCCCAGCACTGGGAGGCTGATGCAGGAGGGTCACAGTGAGTTTGAGGCCAGCCTGGGCTCCATAGTGAGTTCAAGACTAGTGTGGAAAACACAGGGAGCTCCTGGAGCCTCGTGGGGAATAATAGGACACAAAGCTGTGGGGAACCAGTGTAACAACAGGCTTGTAAGAGTGAGGGATTGTCAAGGGGTGAGGCCAGGTCCTCGGGAGCAAGCCTATTGTCCTCTGTCCCCGACCCCACTGAGTTTTCTGTGCAGCACATTCAGATTTATGTTGTTTTGTGGGCGTCATTTTAGAGAACAGTAAGGAAAGGAGACAGGGTGGGGACAAATTGGCCCTGGCGGCTGGTGTCCCAGTGCTGAGTGGAGAACTCGATGTCCACAAAAGTCTGAGGCCATTCTGCTCAGACAGCACAGCCCAAGCTGCCCATAGCCAGCTCCACCCATGGGATGGGAAGCAAGGGTGGAGAGAACCCGGGTTTGTCACAGGGCTCCGGCCTGCGAGGCGAACTGCATTTTTAAAACAGCAAACTTCTCATCAACCAAACACCCAAAGAAGAAATCCTGAAAGTGCAGTTTCCTGAGGAGGCAGAGCTCTCTGGGGAAGGAGGTCCCCAGAGCCCCCAGGCAGGACCTTCACACTGCCACTGAGGACACTGACGAGGTTTAGGTCTTCATCAAGCAGAGAGAGGGAAAAACAAAAAATAAAAACAAAAACAAACTTTAAGTAAGCAGAACTGGCCGCAGATTGACAGAGGATCTGAAACTACTCCTGAAGCCTCTGCAGGGGAAGGGTAGCTAGGACTTCCAGGCCAGCGCCACCTGCGGGTGGCACGTTCCTTAAGTCTGTGTTTGTATTTTACCCTAGCAATGACAGGGCTGGAGGAAAGGGCTGTGGAAATCAGTTTCCTTGGGGGGAGGGGGTGCGCTGTCCCTGGCCAGCGTCCCTGGGTGCTGAGAAGACGTTAAGCGGTGAACATACAGTCGCCCCACAAGCATGTTAGCAGCTGGGGCCAAGCAGAGATGTGCACTCAGCATTTTAAAATTCCCATCTGGCCAGATGTGGTGGCACACTCCTGTAATCCCAGCACTCAGGAGGTTGAGGCAGGTGGATTCTGCAAATTCGAGAACAGCCTGGACTACAAAGTGAGCCCAAGGCCAGCATGAATCGCATAGTGAGATCCTGTCTAAAAAGATAAAACAAAAAAGTTTCCACCTGGCTTTTCTAGCAGTTTGAGTTAACCCTCACCCGCCTCTGCCCCCAACCTGTGTGCCCACCCTGCACCTGGGCTCGAGGAGGCTGCAGTGGCCAGGAGGAGATCCTCACCCTGATCTTGTGACCCCTTCCACCTGTGACCCCCGGACCAGGGTCTCATCCACGTCCGCTGCTGTGAGGACCATTGTGCTGGGGGGCTTGTAAGAGCAACAGCCAACTCAGACCCCCATTTCTGTCCTGCGGTGCCCAAGGACAGATCTGCCTGCCGTGACTGTCACAGTCACCACTCAGGGCATGCATCACAGTGGGAGTCTGGGCTGCACTCCAGCCCCTGACAGGACATGGATGTGTCCTGCAGGTTTTAACAGGGTAAGAAAATGAGTCTCAGGGATCCGAACACTTGCTCAAAATCTCTCAAACAGTCCAGTGGGGCTGTGGGTTTCACAGGAGAGGGATAAAATGACCACTGTTTTATTACCATTGGTGACAGTATTTCCTATAGCACTTAAAATTTTTTTTTTTATTTAAGAGGATAAAGAGAAAAACACAAAACAAAACAAAGCAGTGTAAGGTTACACATAATACAGAACTACAAAAAAAAAAACATAACAGTAAGAAATCACCTGTTAATAGATTACATAATATCATCTTGGAAATAGTTGCTCAAATCACAGTATCAAAGAATACAAGCACTTAAAATTTTTAATTACCATGTCATACTTAGTCCAAAAAAGACATTATCTCACATATAACAAAATGTTTATGTTTCCTTTATTCAGTGTCTTTTTATCTGTACACACACATATGATAGTTTGTAGTAAAATAAAAATAACCTACTGTCCCTGAGTTTGGCTGTGGGAGAATAATTAAAGTGAGGCCATGCTTATCACACCAGCTTTCGGGCCCAGGTAAATTCTTTCTCTGTCTCCAGGTACTGGGATTGGACCCAGGGCCTTCGCACTGAGCCCCATCTCCAGCTCTGTTTCTTATTTTCTATTTTGAAGCGTCATCTTGCGCAATTGCCCAGGTAGGACACTAACCTGCAATCCTGCCTCAGCCTCCAGAAAAGCTGGGATTGCAGGCAGGGACCGCTCACTGCACACACCCAGGGGCAGGCTAAGCCAGGATTTCAGTCTGCATACATCTTACACTAAAATGAACACAGGCACCTTTCTCCATCAGTTTCCCTATCTGGAGAAGGAATGTGAAGTGATTGGCCGGGAAAAGCACGATCCCTAAGTATCCTGATGGAGCCTGTGTTTACAGAAGTACTGAATTAGATGTAGGTTTTTGCTGTGTAATGATTTGTATCCCTGATAGGTTTCTTCTAAACATTTAATATATCGAATGTCAGTTACGGCAGGCGTTTTCTTCCACGGGACAACCCATGCCAATAATTGGTGGCAAGAACCATGCACAGTGCAGGTCTCCTGAGAACCCAGCTGGCCAGGTGAGCTCCGGGAGCTCTTCCTGCCAGGATCACTGAGCTGAACAGAAGAATCTGAGAACAAGGACAAAGCAAGAGCCAAGAGAGACGAATGCTTAGCTGAGCAATAAATACTTCAAGAACACTGGTACTAAAACGAACCGTCAAGTGGAATGCTTCCTCAGTAACCAGGGGGCACTGCTGGGGGCTGAAGAACAAACCAGAGCTCAGCCCAGCGATGATAAGAACACTTGCCACGTAGTAGGGGTGGATCTCCGGGTAACAGGGACACTGTGACCTTCTCAGCGGCAAACCTTGACCTCCACACTCTTCTTTACCTTGTCAGTGGACATCTCATTCATCCTGAAAGCTGGCCTTGGCGTAACTCAGAGGTACATTCAGCCCCACGGCTGGCCCCACCATGCTCAGCCACGATGTGACGTAGTTGATGTCCCTGGAAATGAAGGGGACAGAGGCGCCATGAATACTTCCTTCACAGCTTCTGGGTGAATGGTGGAAACCACTGCCATTGGCAGGAACAGAAGTGAGGCTTTCTTCAAGGATGTGAGCCGCACTGGAATCTCAGTGCCTGGACGCATTTAACTAGCTATGTGACTTGACTCCTCTCTGGTTTTGCTTTCTTCTCTGTAAACTGGGTAAAAAACTTGGTACCTAGCTAATAAGATGCTATAAAACTCCAATGTGCTAATATAGCTAAACCTCTCAGAACAACATTTACCACATGGTAAAAATCAATACATGTTAACCACTATTATCATTACAAAGAATATTTCTTCTTCAGCCTAGGTTTTAGAGTCATCTAAAAAGATTTACACTTTTAAAATCAGAGGAGAGGCCCATGTATTTTGAAGGTATTTCTTACCTATTGATTTTCTGGGAATTCTTTAGTACTGGAGTCATGAATTCAGCAGTCTTGCAAGGATGAAGTACAAAAAAGGGTTGTCCCAGGATCGGATGCTCCTGTAAGGATCAGAGTGGGGCCAGTATGGTCATGTAACTATGGCAAACTTAATGATCTGGTCAATCCTTTAAAATAAGGATGTGTCCTAACTTTGAAGTTATCAAATTAACACACAGGTGGATTTCCTATTTTATACCCCAACATAATTTATAACCCAAAGATGGTGTATTAGTTAGTTTCCTCATTGCTGAGACAAAAATACCCGATTCTCACAACTTAAAGGAGGAGAGGGTGACTTTGGCGGAGTTGTCTGGCTTGAAGGCAGGGCTGCCTGGCACCAATGCAGGGCTGCCTGGCACCGACACAGGGCAAAGGAAAGCTGCTCATGGCATGGGAGACAGGAAGCAGCGAGTCAAGGGAAGAGGCAGGAAGGGAGACAAATGCTTCCGGGGAACTCCCACAGTAACCTACCTCTTCTGACCAGATCCCAACTCATTTCTGGGGTGCTCCTTGCCCAGGCACATAGACTTCAGCAAAATGAGGAGACCTCCTGGGGCAGGAGTATTGGACCACAAGCTCAGCCTGCAGCTGTAGCCAAGCTGGGCAACCAGAGGGAAGGCAGCAGCAAATGGGAACTAAGAATTAAAAACAAGTAGCAGAGACACCAGTGTCTGCATGCACAGGGGACAAATGCTATAGATCGAGCCTAGGAAGTTTACTGAAATAAGAAAAAGAAAAGCAAAAATAACAAAAAGACAACCATTGGGGTTGAAATCCAGAATTCTTGCAATATATTATCCAAACTCATTTTCAAAGAAATTTACGAGATATGCAAAGAAGCCAAAAAGTGTGATGCAGACGAAGGGGGGAAATGTTGGTAATGAAAACTGACTCTGCGAAGGCCCACGCAATGGCCTTCAAACAATTATTATAAATACGTTCACAGGATTAAAACTATGGCTACAGAATTAAAGGGAAAAACTTAGGCCAACAACTCTGCAATAGAATCTCAAAGACAGAACACAGAGACTTTGGAAAGAAGCAATTAGAAATTCTGGAGTTTTTATGCACCATACTAGAAATAAAAGGTCTTTAGCTGGGCTCCCAGGTCGGTATGGGACAGTAGCAGAGAGACACAGTCAAAGTGGGGGAAACCTCAAAAATGTCATGCTCAGCAAAACTGTCCTTCAAAGGTGAAGGTATAATAGAAACATTCTCAGGGAAATGGGCTGAGCCAGCTACTTGTTAGTAAATCTGCCTAATGAGATACAGCCACGAAAGTTCATCAGGAAATAATATCAAAAGATAACAAGCCCCCCCATAAAACCTCCATGCATGGCAAATATAAAGACTAAGCACTTCATTTTTATTAGTCCATGTTTGTAGTACACAGTGATTACATTCACTGTGGGGACTTGGTACATGGTCACCATACATCTTGAATCTTTTTATGCTTCCTCTCCCTAGCCATGCCTCTTTCATCCCTTGGTCCTCTTCCCATTTACAAAAGATTTTTCTCCCTTAATAAGAGTCATATAAGCAAACACCCGAGCCCCATTGCGTTGCATTTCTGACATCTATGAATGTAAAGTTCCTGGCTGCCAGGCACAGAGGATGGTGGGAGAAATGGATGCTAAGGTACCAGATGTCTGCAGAATGGAGTCAGCCCTCTGCTGTCACAATGTTAGTAGGGTGTGGGTTTGGGGAGCATTTGGAACCCAAAGCCCCTGCTTTAGGAATAAATTCTTTAAGTGTGTTGTTAATCATGCCGTGGCTTCTAGCAATGTGTTGAAGCATCCATAATTAATTACAGGATTAAATCGTACATGGTTCAACACCCAATCCTTTCTCAAATGGATTAGTTTCTCTTAGTAGTGGCAAATTAGCCAAATCATTAATTGCTTTTCAAATACAGACAGAGAAGTCTTTTAAAAATAAAGACAAAATAAATCTTTTGTTTCTAAAAATAGGCTGAGTAGCTCTTACCCAAATGCATGAGACCAGGAGTATTTCAGACTTTGGATTCTGGGATATTTTCACAGACTTTACCAGTTGATTATCCTTCATCTGAGAGTATGGAACCCAAAATGCCCCAAAATCCAAAACTTTGGTTGCTCAACATGTTTTGCAGTTGGTGGCGCTTCAGGCTTCTGGCTTCAGGTATTTGAGTTAGGTTTGCTCAAGCCCCTATATGCAGGGTGACTGTGCCCACAGCCCTGTGTTACAGTAAATGGACTAATTCTCTTACTGTAAGAAAATATCAAGTGCCCTGGGCTAGAATTCATATATTCTCTTTCATTCACTTAGCAAACTAAATTGATTGAAGCCTAACTGGAGGCAAAGCATCCCTAACTCAGAAATGTGGTTAATCCCACAGAATTCCTTACCCTGCAGAAGTCGCAGAATTCCCAGTTATTGTCATGGCCTGAGCCAATACCATTTTTAAAATTCTACTTATTTTTAATCAGTTCACGTTCATAACACATTTATATTGCTTGTGGGAAGTTGGTGGGTATACATAACACGTGTTAATAGTTTTTACATCCCCGCCCCCTTCCTCTGTCTCTTGTTCCCCTCCCCATTTGAGGAAGATCCTTCTTCCTGTTTCCTATTATCTATCGCTTATTTTGTTCTTTATGTATATTTTTTGGGTTTCTCATAGAAGAAAAACCATGAGATATTTAAGCTCTTGTGTCTGTTTTATTTTACCTAACGTTATGGTCTCAAGATGCATCCATTTTCCTATAAATGACTTAAATTTATCTTTGTGGCAGAGTAATGCTCCGTGGTGTGTAAATATCACATTTTCTTTATCCATTCATCTGCTGATGGACCTATAGGCTGCTTCCAAGATTCAGCTACTGTGAATCGTGCTGCTGCAAACATGGTGTGCATGGCTCACTTTAATATGACATCTTTTACCTCTTTTTGGAAGAACCAAACTTAGTGATGTTAGCAGGATACAAAATCAACACACAAAAATTAATAGTGCACACAAATAACCACTGAGAAACAAATTTAGAAAAAAATACCATCCACATAGTAAAACGGTTTTGGCCTAGACAGGACACTATAGCCAGGAAAGTCTCAACCAGAAGCAGGAAGCCTCTATCTCCCCCGCCCCTGGGAATTTACCTATGGTGCAAAACCTAGGACCAATGGGCTACCCGTGCATCCCTGATGCCCCCTTAGGTTCCACCCCAAATCGAGGCTACTTACATAACCCCATGCCACGTGTCCGCTGGAGAGATCGCTGGACTCCAGTGGTAGGGGGTGCCTGTCATCTCTCTCCGTGTCCTCAGAATGAAGGCCTCTTTTTGTTTTGTACTTCTCATCTTTTGGAAATACTTTTCATCTTTTGGAAATAATCCTATCATTTGGTGCCATGATTCGATCAGCAGGCGATTGACTCCTGGGACACACCCAGTTGAGTCCCCCAACCGATTCACAAACTGGATAACATCCTGGATTAATTCCGCGCTTTTTCTTCTCCTGAGATGTTTGACTTGTCGCTAGCCGCCTGCACTCACCATAGGCCAGATTGATTTCAGGTGAGCACTCTCTGGGGAACTCTTGGCACTGGGCAGCCCCAGTCAACTGTTCTCCCCGTTCGCGTGGGTCTGTGACATTTTCACGTCCTTAGGACAGCCCAGGGCAGGGTTTTTTCTGGGCAAACCTGTGTCCACACTCTAAAATCTCTCACGTTCTTTGGGTTCAGATAGCCTATAGCAGAGAGTTTTGGACCGCCCACACTGAAAGACCCTCAATTCCCTTAAAGCCTGGCGCCTTCACGAGCAAAACTGCTACTGACCCCACGTGTAAATCTCTCGTAAATCCACTCGTAAATCTCTCAGTGACGACTGGAATATACGAGTTTTTGGAACCTTAGCTGCCGTGTGGTGCCACAAACGACGGCTTGTTCTCTGGACCACGGCTTATTTCTTGCCTGAATCAGTCAGGGGAAACCTATTTTCTATCTCCCAAAAAACACCTTTACAATGTTTAATTTCCAATTTATGTACTCTAAAAATAAAAAGTACCATAAAAACTAAACAATTAACTTTTTACTGCCGGGAGGTCTGGCCAACCTACCCACTTAGTGGCAATCGTTGGCCCAAGGAAGGAACATTTGACCCCTGCATTCTCAGAAACTTGTATGATTTCTGTCAGGCCAGCGACAAGTTATTAGAACTCCCTTATATTCAGGCCTTTCTTATTCTGAGAACACACCCATCTTTCATTAAGTTTTGTGCTCCTGCTCAGATACTTTTAGCTAACTCTACCGCACCGCAAACTTTTCCGTCCTGCCCTCAGGATTCGCATGACAATATTCCTCCAGTGTTTTCCCAGCCGCCACCTCCCTACCCCCAAAATAGTTCCTCGACGTTATTTCCCGCTGTGCAATCGTCTTCCCCTCCGTCTCCCAGGACCCATAACTCTCCCAGCGGCTCTAATCCTTCTGTTAGCACTTCCTTGTAGTCTCCGACTTCTTATTCTCCTGAGAATGCTCTATCCTCTACAGCATTCTCACTGCCCACCCACCATACTAGCTCTTGGTCGCTATGTCCTTCCAGCAGGCCTCGTGATTGTTCCAGCTTGCGCCAGAACAGTCGCCATGTTGCAACCCTCTGCCTCGGGACAGGGTGCCACCATGTTCAGAAGGGTCATATGGCAACAGAGCGCCACCATGTTCGGACGGGACACGTGGTCACAGGGTGCCACCATGTTTGGACAGGTCTCGTGGTCAATAGGCACCCCCTTGTGGCTCCTCTTGTGAACAGCAACAGCCGCCCTGTTGTAGTCCACATGACGGTTGCCGACAGCAATCCTCTTGCTGCAAGGCACACAGTAAGACGCCATCTGCCTGTGTTTCCTCATCCGAGGGTGAGCGGCAGCCACTCTGTAGCCGCTCTTCAGATAATTCCTCACATGCGTCTACTGGACGGATGGCTGCTCAGTGGCCCTCTACTCCTCATTCTTCTCCTCAAGCTCTGCTGCCACTTCGGGAGCAAGCTGGCCCCAAGGGACTTCTTAATACACATGTGCCTTTTTCCCTTTC